TTCTTCTGCACGCAAATATTTGTGTTCCTCCTTAGCGCTTTGCATTTCGGAAACACGGGGGGATTTTATTTTATTAACAATCTCAAGTTGAAGAAAGAGTAGCAATGTTTGTCCTTGTTGCCACCTGCTTAAGAAATAGAGTTGGCCGAAAGGAGGAGGAATTTAAGAATAAAAGAGATGTCACTGCTTGCCCACTTGCTAGCTATGTGATTGATTTAGTCAACCAGCATTTATAGTTCTTTGCTTCTGAGCCAGGCCCAGGGGTAAAAGTCCACACAGAAGTGTGTCTCTGGTATGGCTCCTTGAGTTTTTTTAAGTATTTAGCTAGGTGGCAGCTGAAGGTTTTTGAGTAGAAAAAGTTTGATGACACAGAAGCTGTGGGAGAGAAGGACGTGTGCATGAAGATCATTGACAGGTGAATTCAGGGCTGGTGGGCCAGGGGAGCTGAGCCACGTACTTCGTATGATCACGGCCACCCAATGTGCAGTCTGAAAACCACCGCGTTGTGTGTTATCAGGGATTTTGTGGTTCTCTGCAACCTCTCCTAAACTGGTAGCTAAGAAAATGCATATGCATAGAAATGGGCAGGCTGCTGGGGCCATGGGTGCCCTGGCACACTTCCCTTCACAACCATGAGTTCCTGCAAGAAAGATGCTTAGCTTAAGCTGAAGCCCTGGGGTCTTTAAGAGGCCTTCATTGCTCTCATCTCATTTGTATTAAGCTGGCCCTGGGGTCTTTAAGAGGCCTTCATTGCTCTCATCTCATTTGTGCTATTGTTTTGGGAATTGCAGAAATAAGTCACGCTTACTTGGGTACTTTGGAGCATAGGGAGGACAGAGAGTGAGGAGAGCTCTCTCTTGAGGCATGAGATGCTGTGTTGTTCTTTTCACGTCCTTGTGAATGAAGTCTGTGTGTCTAGCACAGCATGAAATGATTTCCAAGTTAGTCACTGAGTTCAAACCTGGTGTTGTCTGTGCAGATCACTTGCCCGATCTGCCACGTGTCCCACTGTGAAGACCGACTCCGGTTTTATAGTTATTAACAAGCCCATGGTAGCATCTGTGTGCGCATTCATGTTTTTCAGTCTTTATTTGTGGCACGTGATGATTGCGCCCTCGTGGGGAGTCGGTACCTGTGCCTGACACATCTTCATTCTTCACCTTTCTCCTTCCTTTCTCCCCAACCCCCTTCTCTCGGTCCCGTTCCCTCTGGGCAAAAAGATAGGCAAAAGACCCATCTCTCTATTTTCTCTTATCTACCACTGATTGTACTCTTTGCTTAAATTTTGGATTCCTCGTATAAAGGAAACCATGCAATATTTAAGCTTATGTGTTTGATTCATTTCACTTAACATCATGGTCTCAGAAAGTACGCATTTTCCTCCAAATGACTCAACTTTATTTCTCTTCATAGTGGGGTAGTACTCCAATTACATAAATACCATATATTCCTTATCTATTCATCTGGTAATGGACGTATCAGCTGCTTCCAAGATGTAGCTATTAAGAGTTGTGCTTTTCTAAACATGGGTGCGCATGGATCACTGTAATATGATGTCTTTGACTCTGGGGAAAATCCTACAAGGGGAATAGCTGGATCAAATGGAGTTTCTAATTTTAGTTTTTTGAGGAATCGCCATACTGATTTACATAATGGTTGTATTAATTTATATTCCCATCAACAACATAGAACAAACATTATTTGGTTTCTTGATGGTAGCCATTCTTTCTGGGATAAGATGAGTCTCAGTCTTGTTTTAATTTGCATTTCTGTAATGGCCAGCGATGTTGAACATTTTTTTCATGTATTTATTGGCTGTTTGTACTTCTTTTTCTGAGAAGTTTGTTTCAGTTGCACATTTTTTGATTGGGTCTTTTATTTTGGGAGTCTAATTTTTGAGTTGTTTCTATATTTCACATATATCTATATTTCACATATCATCCTCCCATACTTCTTAAGAAGTGGAGCTATTGTGTCATTGTTCCCTGAATTCTTCAGAGTTGACAGTAACATTAATCTTTTGAGCTTCTCATAAATAGTGGGGAACATGGAAGGAAAGGAAGACCCTCCCTTTCGTCAAGAGCAGGTTCTGTCTACCCTAGGGCCCCAGAAACGCCCTATTGTGTGCAGTTCCATTCTGCTTTTGAGGGACATCTCTGGGGCCAAAATGAGATCCAGAAGTCACATGAGGTTTATGAACAGCATCCACAGCCAGGCTGACCTCCCAGGCTAGGTTCATGCTGATCCTTCATCAGTTAAGCCAGACTGGGCTGTACGGCTAAGGCCCCTGTGACCTCAGTCCAGGACAATATTAAAGCAATGCCTTCTGTTATTTTGTGTCTGGGCTGATCAGCAATGTAGAAGCTACCCTGGAGAAAGTTAGAGGGTGTGTATTTCCAGCCTACCCCTGCCCTACCATAAGCCATCTGATCTTGGGAGAGCTGTCTAACGTTTTGCAAGATGAGCCCACCTGGATTCCAGGTATCCCAGGTTCAAGGTATTGGACTTATGGAAATCTATTACAGTTGCCTGTCTTTGGGATTTTGTCACCTTGATGGTCCACTCATACATCCTTCTTGGTCATTCAGGTCCCCTCCAGGTGCCATCCCTAATGATCCTTTAAAGTCACTAATAAGGAATAAGTCTATTCTAATTTTTAAAAATAAAATTCCAATCCACAATGCAGAGACTTTGGATATTCTCTTTACGGTTGCAGTGGCATGTTACTGGAACTATCTGCCTCACCTCTCAATTATGAGACAAAACAAAGACACTTAATGTGGCGTTGCTGTGGGAGGTGGGGAAACACAGAATTCCTCATGAGACTATGGACATAAAAGTTAATGTAATGTACTTAGGAATCACGTTCACAGGAAATCAAGTAAGAGTGGGAAGAAATCTGCATTTTATATCAACAGAAATTATCCATGAGATATTTCCATGTTCTCTGCAATAATTGTGATAAATTATCATTCCTAGGATAACTGTTGTTTTAGGCCAGCTCATCACACAGCAGAGCTACAGAATAGGCAAACGTGCCTTTATAGCACTGTGTGGTTTAGTATCTTTCATTTATCTGCAGAGGAAGTTCTCAAATTGTGGTGGTAATTTTCTAAAATTTCAAGGGAAGACAGTTGTATTTCAGGCGATGGTGATTTATGACCTCGAAACAGCGTCCCTAACCCAGCTCTGCCCCAGTGGAAGGGACACACACTCAGTCCCCTGCCAGCCCTTCCACGTAGGGATGTTGCCTGCTTTTAAGCACTGTAGTCTGTAATATTCAGGAACAATGACTTATGGTAGTAAAATATTTTACCTTTAAATTAAAAAGCCGTGAAAGTAAATATTTCAGTTGGGCAGCAAAAATGTTTCCATGGAAGGGGCAGAAATGAGAGCCTGGGAGGGCGGTGGCTGGTCGGGGTCCCTGGTGCGATATGTCTTAATGCGGCAGTGCCACCTGGCAGGGACTTGGTAGTAGGATAATATATTCGAGATTTTTACAGGGCGTGGTAATGAGTAAGTGATGTTGTATTTTATAAACTTCGTTCTTTATAAATGAATGCTCATCAATATAAATATTATTTCAGCTCATCTATTTATTTCTTCCCAGAATCGTTGCTTTCACTCTTCCCTTTTCTCTTCTTCCAACACAACACCTTCTCCTTTTTGTTCCTAATCATCTGTGCTCTTACAGCAA